CTGTCTGTTTTGATCAGCTTCTCTTATTAGAAAGTGCCTAGTAGGAAAAACCCTCCTGCCTGATGCTAAAAAAAGCCCAGCTTCCCCAGCCTCTATTCATAAGTTTTGTGCACCAGACTCCAACCAGCTTGGTGACCCTTGTCCAAGTTCATTCAAGTACTGGGGGGGCCAGAACTACTCACAGTATTTAAATGTGGTATAATAACTGCTATTATGGGAATAATAATTTTTGATTAACTGACTACACTCCTACTAATTTAAATGCAGAATACTTTAGCTCAATCAAGAACACATGCATAAAACAAAAAGGAAACTTCAGTACTCATGTGAGCTGATACAATTTTTGAAGATTGATCTCCCTGATAGATGATAACAGGTAATCTTCACATTTACCCATCTTCATTAGTGTTTATTCTAGCATTTCAGATACAGTCTCCTTACTTAATCTCTGACACTTTCAGGTGTTTGAAATACTTGAAAAAAATAAACTTTAAATGAGCTTTGTAAAACCTGTGATCCACTTTTCCTCTTTGCTGTTACCCATTGAAAAGTTACAACAATTCTCATAAAACTATTCGCAGTAATCTTTAGAGGTAAGCAATCTTAGCACTCCACAGGAAAGGGAAGGTTTGTTTCAAATATGATTACACTTCAGGGATACTCCATGATATTAGAAATAAAAAAATTAGTATGCCTAGTGAGCAGGCAGAAGACCTACTTCAGAATTGTATGATTTCATTTGCAAATCATTTGAGTAATACTATAACTTATTTAAGCTATGTATTCATACCGTGCTTGGAATAACGGAGCCTCAATCTTATAGGGCTGCTAAATAAAAATTATAGTGAGCATTTAAAAAACAAGAATAGGGGGGGTTGATTTTTTTTAATATGCTCAGGTAATTCTCCAATCAGATACAGGATTATTTAGTGCAGCCTCTGGGTGTATGGGAAGAAAAGAAATGAAAATAAACAACATTTCATGAGAGGCAATGCTATATTACATTTGGCATAACTACCCAAAGTCATGAATGAGCAGTGTAGATGAAGACTCACTATACTTTATACTATGCTATTTGGTTGTGGAAACTCTCAGCGCTCTTTATTTTACAATGCACATAAAGGAGACCAGCTTTAGCAAAGCTGTTTTTCTATATCCTAAGGCGGATGTTTTGCAGTGGCAGAAAGTGGAAAATACCTCATGATTCTGGCCTTTCAGACTCTAGAAAGTTCAGTTCAGTACAAAATTCTACTAGTTGAATATGGCAATATCTATATTGACAGCATCAACAAAGAAGTCCCTTCTCAAGTATAAACTTTATCATTGTCTACACTGAGAATGCCTGCTTTTAGACTCTACTGCAGTCCGTTTTGACCCTGTTTGGTTTAAGGAGCAGGTATTGTATCAACTGTACTCTAATGCTAGCATTCAGCCTCCTTTTTTATTTTGGAGCTTGGTTTTGCACACTATAGGCACAGGAAGTCTTCTTGCCATGACAATACAGGATTCTATTCCTTAATTCTTGGCCTGCAGATACCCACTCTTCCTCTTCAGTGTCCACAGTCTGACACAAACTCAGTAAGAGAAACATGACTAATTCTGTATAAGCTAGAGCAGTTTTGATAGGTTTAGGCAGTAAATAAATGTACAGTCTTATAGACAGCAACAGGGCTCAATCTAAATTACCTTAAATGTGATTGCAGATACAGGGTTCTGTGCTTGCAAACTATATTCAGTGCAGTACATTCTGTCACACTGATTCTTTCATTTGGTTTCATCAAAGGTGTGGTTAGCCATCAATATAAATTGATTCAATTCAAAGCTGCTGAGGACATATATATAAAAGTGTACCTTCCATAAGTTTAAGTAGTTGGCAAATCAAAAACCTGTCAGTTTCTCTCTGATATTTTGTTTCAAAAGCAAGTTAATAAACATGCTTAATACAGACTTTAATACCTGGAGTCAAAGACACTTTTAATTTAAGTTCTATTTTCTGGAGAGCAATGCAAATTATTAAGAAAACAAGAAATCACAAAACTTAAAACTTTGAGGAAAGAGAAAATTAATTAATGCAATTATTTTTTGAGTGTAGCAACACATGGCTGTCCAGAATTATTACACAGAACTGAATTTATAACAGCTGTGAACATACAGTTAGTCCTTATGGGATAAAGTCTGATTACCAATTACTAATCCTTAATTACTTATTTAAAGCCCTAATTATTAATTAAGGCCCCATTACTAATATTTACACACCATTTTAGCTTTCTGTGTTGTTTTCAGATATTTGCAAAACAGGTATGTACTGTCATGAAATTGTATCCAGCATGCTACCTGTTACAGGATACTTTGAAATTACAGGACAAAAATCAAATGCACAAAACCAAATTAATGGTCTGATGCAGTCAGACAGAATACTTCCCTATATTCATGGAATTACGAGTAATTTCAGGTAGTGGAAGGAAATGGAATACTAATTGTAAACAAGTATGGTGACATT